AAATAAATCATTTGGATAATTATTTTTTTTTTTTCTTTTTTTTTTTTTTTCCTTCATTCTTTGAAGTTATTTTTTATTCTTTTTTTTTTATATATATATATTTCCATTAATAAATTTTATATAAATTTTAATAAAAAAAATATATTTAAACAGCGGCTTTAACCATATATTTTTGTCTTTCTTCCATTGAAATATATGGACTTGTTCCTATTTCATTTCCTTTGGTTTCTTTAACAAAAAATAATATGAACAAGAATGATATAATAGACATAATTGCAAAAATAATAAAAAGAACTGAAGGAGATTTTTTTATAATAACATCTGATGGAAATACAACAATAATTGCACACAACCAGTTTATTAAAGAAGCCAAACTTGCTGCACTATCTTTAATTTCGGATGGAAACATTTCATGTAAATAAATCCATAATACTGGTCCATATGAGACTGCAAAAGAAATAATCATAATAAATGTTGCAACTATAGAAAGTACTTTTACAAATTTTGCGTTTTTATCAATTTCGTTTGCTATTGCTGTTGGAAGATATGCAATAATAACACCAACACATCCCCATAATAATAAAGTTTTTCTTCCTAGCTTTTCAACAATATAAATGGCTGGGAATGTCATTAAGAAATTAACTGCTGTCATGATAACACTTAAAATAGTTATTAAATTATCATTTAAAAATTCTTTGTATAATTCATTAGAGTTGGCAACTAAAACATTAATACCTGTTAATTGTTGAAATCCTGATAAAATACAACCTAATAATATAACATATCTATAAGATGGTATTTTTAATGCGGCTAATAAAGATAAAGAATTTCTTTTTGCAGCTTCATTTTGTTCAATAGCATCTTGAATTGCTTTTAAAGGCTCATCAACATCTTCAGTTCCATATATTTTTTTTAAAATTTTTTTTGATTCTTCTACTTTTCCATGTTCAAATAAGTAGTAAGGAGTTTCTTCCTTAAAAAAAACAACTAATAAGAAAATACCAAATAATGACATAAAAGAAGGAAAAAGAAACATTAACCTCCACCATATTTTTTCAAAATCAGATAAGGGATCCTTTGACTTTGCATTAGGTCCACTACCTAAAGCTAATCCCAATAATACAGCGATAAAAATACCAAATGTAATAAATAATTGATGTAAAACACCATATGCACCTTTTTTATCTTTATGTGTCATTTCTGATATATACATAGGAACACTAACGGTAATTAAACCAACACCAAATCCACTTAGAAGACGTGCAAATAAGATTGTATGGAAATGATGAGTTATTGATGTTAATATACTTACAATAACGAAAAAATTATATATTACTAATAAAGAAAATCTTCTACCAAACTGTACTAAGTAACCGGAAAACCCACTACCAATAACTGCACCAATAAAAACTGATGCTAATAAAAAGGAACTCTGTATTGTGTTTGTATCACAATTTAATCTATCTGCACCTTTACACCATTCAAATTCTACAACTATAAAATTTTTTATAGTATTCAAAACACTAACTTGATATCCAAATATAAAAGATGCAATGCATGCAGATAATACATATTTAAATGAGGTGTTAAAAAATTTATCCTTTTTTTCTTTCACAATAGAACTTTCCATTGTATTATCTTGATCAGTTTTCATTTTATTCAAACGGTACTAATATAAATATATATATATATAAAATATATATTATAATGAAAAATATATATTTATAAAAATTTTCTTTTTTTTTTTCTTTTTTTTTTTTTTTTTATACTGCGTTATTTATACAACAGCATAACTTTTTATTAAATACTTAAAATTATTTAAAAAAATAAAAAACAATTAGTTTAATTTTTTAATTTAGATATCTACATTTAAAATAAGTAAAATTCTCTTAATTTTTTAAAAAATATTCTAACTATATTTTTTTTTTATTATACGTTTTTTTTTTTTTTTTTTTTTTTTNAGATATCTACATTTAAAATAAGTAAAATTCTCTTAATTTTTTAAAAAATATTCTAACTATATTTTTTTTTTATTATACGTTTTTTTTTTTTTTTTTTATATATAATTAATTTTTTTTTTTTTATTTTAATTTTTTTTTTTTTTTTTAATTAATTTTTTTTTTTTTTTTTTTCTTGAATCACTCGAAGTTTTCTAGAAGAGAATATTTACTTTTTATCTCATTAACATGCATGAATACTTTCTATTTTATTTTTAAATTTAATGTTTTTTTTCTCTTTTTTCTTTTTTTTTTTTTTTTTTTATAATAACAATTTTTCTGTTTCATAAAACACTTAATATGTGCCTAATTTAATTTTCTTACTAAAAACTTGTTAGTTTTAATTTTTTTTTAAAACATAATTTAATATTTCTGTTTTACTTTAAATTCGATTTTTACTATATCTAATTTTAATTTTATTGTAGTTCTGCTACCGTATTTCTCTTTATGTTATCCCAGCTAATAATTATCTATAATTTTTCTAAAAGATATTTTATTTATTGTATAAATTTTTAATATAAGCATCAGCTTATGTTAAATATATTCAAAAAAAAAAAAAAAAAAAAAAAATTAGAATGCAGTTTTAATAATTATATATTTTTTTTATAGGTAAACATGAATTTTTATATATAAGAAATATTTATATAAATACTTTTATACATTTCATTACAAAAATATTGTAAAATAATATAAACAATTTTAAAAAGGTATTTTTTATTTAAAAAAAAAAAAAAAAAAATTAATAATAATGGAAATCTTACAGTAATTTAGAGAATAAAATATATAAAAAGACAATATAATAAAAAGTAAAAATGTAAAAAAGTACAGGATTTTCCTTATAAAATATAAAATATATATATAATTATTTTTAAAATTTCAATTTATTGAATATTAATATATATCAATAATAAGTTTTTATTTTAAAAACTTATTTAATAAAAAAGCACGTGCTTTTAAAATATTTACTTTTTATTTTTTTTTTTTTTAATATTATTGGTAGCAATTAATTTATTTTATTAATATTTTTTTTTTAAAATACTATTATATTTGTATACTTTATTTGGATTTTTATAAAAGTTCATATATTGTTTTTTACTATATATACACTTCAATTCTAGATCTTTAAATAAAAAAAAAAAAAAAATAAAATAAGAGGTTTAATAAATAAGGTAAAAAATATATATTACGAATACTATTTTTAAGAAGAAATATAATAATAGACATATTTAATCCAAAAATATGTTATTCTTAATGTATTATTATTATTTTTTTTTTTTTTATTAAAAGAATAAAAAAAAAAAAAAAAAAA